AATCGTGTGGACTTGATAAAAATGTCTTCACACTCTTTTGTCCTTACTTTGTATATTGTACTCCCTGTATGTATTGTACTCCCTGTATATATTGTTATCCCTGTATATATTGTAATCCCTGTATATATTGTAATCTCTGTATATATTGTAATCCCTGTATGTATTGTACTCCCTGTATATATTGTTATCCCTGTATATATTGTAATCCCTGTATATATTGTAATCCCGGTATATATTGTACTCCCTGTATATATTGTAATCCCTGTATATATTGTAATCCCGGTATATATTGTAATCCCTGTATATATTGTAATCCCTGTATATATTGTAATCCCTGTATATATTGTAATCCCTGTATATATTGTAATCCCTGTATATATTGTAATCCCTGTATATATTGTTATCCCTGTATATATTGTAATCCCTGTATATATTGTAATCCCTGTATATATTGTTATCCCTGTATATATTGTAATCCCTGTATATATTGTAATCCCTGTATATATTGTAACCCCTGTATATATTGTAATCCCTGTATATATTGTTATCCCTGTATATATTGTAACCCCTGTATATATTGTTATCCCTGTATATATTGTAATCCTTGTATATATTGTAACCCCTGTATATATTGTAACCCCTGTATATATTGTAATCCCTGTATATATTGTAATCCCTGTATATATTGTAATCCCTGTATATATTGTAATCCCTGTATATATTGTAATCACTGTATATATTGTAATCCCTGTATATATTGTAATCCCTGTATATATTGTAATCCCTGTATATATTGTTATCCCTGTATATATTGTAACCCCTGTATATATTGTAATCCCTGTAAATATTGTTATCCCTGAATATATTGTAATCCCTGTATATGTATGTTCCTTGTATTTATTTTTGATAATTAATAATAATACCAAAAAAAAAAATGGGAAAATAAGGGCAACCATCCGCAAGATAATTGAAAGGTTAATGATATCGATTTTCGTCAAGAATATGACCAAGTGAACATAGATCCATACACCCATTTAAGGATAAGCAGATGAATGTTTGTGTTCAGTGCAAACCACGGATAAACTTTGTGTTCTAAAGGTTTCTTGGTATCGATTGATACTTTCTTTATAATAATCTATCGATTAAAATTGACAGTAAATATAACACCAACTCGCAATGTGATACGTAGGTTGTGATTAATAGGTTACAGGCAAAGTAATGATATGTATTAAATCCAGGGTGACAAGCGCGAGGTCATTGAACAACTAGTAATACGACAATATCAGTATATTAGTTGCAGCTGATCGTACTACGAAATAGGTTTCCGTTATGATTGATCAATTCAAATAGGTGCAATACCTGATAATTATGTGCAGTTTAGTCCCTGTAACATTCGCCAGTTTCTTGATACAGTCCTCCAATAAAATGTCTGCCCTCTCCGTCGCTGGGATTTTGTGAGAACTTAAAGATGTATTCCGAAGTGCATTAGAAACCGAATGCAATTTTTGTTCGCGTCACAAAACCCCAGCGTTGGGTAGGACAGAATTAGACAGCGATTCGGGATATTACCCTGTTTAACAAGTCTAGAGGTTATTTACTTCCAGCTGAAAATATTCAAATGAAAAATATGATTGAGCCCAACGAATCAATTGAGACATGTACACGCTTATAGCCCCGTCATTGGCGATCTTACGGCGACTGGAAATTTAATGTACTATACGTCGTGGTCAATCCTAAGGAAAAGTCCCTAAATATTGCACACTTAAAACAGTAGAGCTCTTACCTCGATGTAGTATTACCGCGACCACATTGTCTTCTAACATTTTTGCAGCGTTTTTTTTTCATCACGTGTGTCAGATCGCAAAAGATTGGCTAGCGACCTTAACACGTTCTGGGAAAGTGAAATCATCTCTTTTATCATATAGATGTCCAGATATTTTATGGCTATTGTCATGTCATGCCAGGCTGCTTTGTTAATCGAATTTGTTTATCTCTGACTCATCAGGATATATTTTAAAGGGGCATTATGTTAAAATTGTATTATTAAAACTGTTGTAAATTATACGTGAACACATTTGTGAAATGATAATGCTATTACTATGCATCTACATGGTGAAACTGAATTTGTTTTAAAAGGGTTAAGAACAAAAAACAGAGTACGTAATATCCATTTCATATCGGAAAGGCGTCCTTACATACAGCGACAGTTAATGAGCTCAAAGCATGTTACGGTGGTACCAGCTTGAAGGAAGCACCAGGTACCGCACGGTGGACGCCATTGTCACCAACAAACGTCGTTGAGATCGCCACGGAATCGAGATCGTCTTTCGACAAACGAAACCTTTCCATAAACGCAAAGAAAACTAAGCCCATAGAATTATTTAGAAATGTGCTGTGGGAATGCAATATGGTCGCAGGTTGTAAGCGACTGTTGTAGAATTTGTAATTTTTTTTTGTAGTTTATTTCATATTTGTCGGCATTTTTAGTAGCAGTAAGATCGCAAATGGTCGCAGTGACGGTGTTTGGCTTTAAAATTTGTAAGATGATTATTGCTAAAACCACCAGAATTAAGGAGGACACATATTTCTCTATTTCAATTTGACGTTTAATGGCAGTCATTTTTTTAGTTAAACTTCCAGATGAGGTAAGGGACCTATATTTCGAAATTTTAGTCTAAAGTTTTTCTTAATTTGAGCCCCTGTTTTCCCGACCGTAAATCATGAGACTGCTCAGTATTGAGTTCGAGAATTTATCATCATTTAAGAACCACACAGCGTTAACATACCAGAATGTGAATTTAAACTTGCACACCAATGTTTTCTTGAAATTTCGAAAACGCAAATAAGAACTTTTAATTTTGTCGATCACAACTTTACATAGTTTACTTTAGTGGAAACATGATAAATGAATGTTAATTACCTTTGTTCTCTCAAGACAATTATCTATTTTTAAACATAATATCAACCATTTGCTGAGCAATCATTCTAGTTTCTTCTTTGTTGTAATTCATCTCTAACAAGCAAGAGAAACGTCATATTAAAGATGAGTTTCCTTATTTTTTTAGTGTCAAATTAAGCAAACTTTTTCTAATGAATTATCATGTGTTCATAATCATATCATTATATTCTTATTGCATATAATTAAGATTTTCAACCAATAATAAATGTTTCTTGATCGGCCACTCATTGGAATTCTACAGGTAATTCTCTTCTAATTTAGCTAATTATGAATTAATTATGGACATGTGAGACCTTTACTTTTTATTCATATGAGTATCATCTGCTGCAGCATTTCCACCTTCGCTACCCCCGAAACATCCACAAGATTATAGACACAGGGTATTTAAAATAAGAAGATCAAGCTTTATAAAGCCTGAACAGCAAGCGTTACTGAACCAGCTCACACTCCACAGTTGGAGGGGAATATTTTGCACCAGATCGACCCATTCAGTCATTTACGAATGAAGTTTGTGGTCATCTTCAACAGCCGTGGATGGCTTCGTGACACATCTTTCATAAAAACTTGCCCAGAAATCTGTATACTGACAGATAGTTGAATGAATCAGTAGAGAACATTTTTGATTTTCAGTCTTCCAATTGATAAAAGATAATCACCAGTAACCGGGATCAAGCCACCGTCTTTCCTTGCAGTATTATACACAAACGAAACTATGTGTGGTTCTCATATAGAACACAACGGTCAAATTAGGAGCAGAAGAGTATGACGTAAAACTCAGAAATCTGATTTTTAACCCCCTATATCACAGCCCAACCAGTGGTTTACATTCCTCGTTCATAAACGAGATGGCACCGACCTTTTAGATTCTGGATTTCTGAACAAATGATAACATGAAAATTTCTCCATTATTTTGTGGTGTTAAAATGCTCTGAGAGTGGAAATGAAATATTTTTTTCTGTCAAATAAGCCGACATCTTAGCGATCGAAAAACGTATGGGATACTGAGATAAAGTCACGCAGTGTACAGTGAGGGGAATTCTTCGAAAAAAAGCTACAAGGGATAAGGCTAAACAAAGTTAATTTTTACATGATTTATGTATTCTAATTTATACACACATTTACACATGTTTAGAGGAGTGTAAATAGGTTTTCTAAAATTTTTATATGTATCGAAGACACGTATAACACCAATTTGCTCCATTCAAATTTTCAATCAGACTTCCGTGGTTCTTGCAATTCCGCTGAAACTAAGCGTTTGATATAAGCAGATTTTGCGATATTGAAGTCATCAAACGCTTAGTTTTAGTGGAATTGCAGGAACCACAGATGTTTGATTGAAAATAGGAATGGTGCAATTGATGCTATCAGTTTCCCCCATACACACAAAAAATGTAGAAAATCTCTTTACAATCACTTACAATAAATGATCATATTTTATACCTCATGATTAATTGTTAATAAAATGTAAAATTAATATTTCATAATCATAAAACAACAACGGAAATCAAATTATCCCTACCACACGACCTACATAAAAAATTTATCGAAATTATCAGTTTTTGAAACACTTTTAATTATTATTGATTGATTCAAAATATTAACAAATTCTTTTCTTAAAGAGCAATGAAATAAAATAATGAACAAATATAAAATATATAAAATATGAAAATAATGAAAATATATATATATATAATATAATATATAAATAATGAAATATATAAATAATGAAATATATAAATAATGAAAATACAAAATACACATTGTAAGCTTTGTGGACTCTTCGACAATGATGCCTGCCGAGCTGAGAAAACCAGTCGCACAGTATCTTCAGGTGCTTGGAAGTTACTCTTTTTTTACAGCCTCTATTTCAGATTTTTAGCCGCTAGCTGAAGGATGAGGGGGTTTGAAAACAAAGGGAATAAATTTGAGAATATTAATCAATTTATGCCCCCTACCAGCAGCCAACAGCCAAAAATATAAAACAGGGGACGTGTTCTGGGCCGAAATTAATTCATTTCAAATGAAATGTATATTCTAGATTTACAAAATTTCTTTTTATTCATCGATGGTTGAAAGAAGGTTGTAGAGCTCCATGAATCCTTTAGATTGACCAAATGTCGAGACCTGGATTCCTGTGGTAAGAATTGGTCGCGACCCTTGGAAATTCTCCAAATTCATGGAAAGGTACAGAGCGTATGGATCCACAGCACTGGATTTATCCTGAAACACATTAAAATTATGAATTAGCTGCAGGAATGCGAATAATGAAAGTGGCCATGGGTCCCAAACGCAACTCACAATATGACCGACATGCTATTTGCTGGTGACCGCTATGATGTGAACAGTGAAGGCCACTTAAGCTTGTTGTAAAGGCATCTCATTACATAGATAATATTATCAGATGTACAGCTTCTCAAAAAAGATGGTCATCATGACTTAGCATGTGGAAGGTGACATTAGAAGGACTGCGAAACTACTGACGCTCAAATTGTTATTACAGTAAGCTCAGACATAGAGCTGCGTTTTTGCGTATCTGACTAGTATTCAACTATAGCAACGGAACCGAACTTACAAAAAGTGTATTTTATACTTGAATTCTATTAAAATATACAGAATAACCTAATGTAAAAAAGAAATAGGCTGTGTTCCACCATACGTTCGAGATATTTCGATAATTGAATTTGAAAAAATGTTAACCTGTTTTGTGGCTAATAGAATCAATGGAGTTTGCTTGAAGACTTTTATTTTCAGGAATCTGTGTAGTTCTTTCCTAGCCTCAACAAATGTATGTTGCGATGAAGAGTCCACACAGAAGATGATAAAATCCACTTCTTCTAATCTGAAAACATCGTGCCAGATTTCTCGATTTTCTACCGCACCACAAACTGAAATCAAAAATATTATGCTATGTGGAAGCGCAGTTGACATGTCTAGTCGTAGTGTAGAATTGTTTTAGGTTTTCTAACCTGCCTTCGAAATCTCTAATCGGAGAGAAGACAACAGGAAATGGAAAATTATCTGAAATCAAGAACCCCTGTAAGATTGAACATTCACAATTATTTCGACCTACATGTATTTTAGTTAGATATCACTGTGTGTAGACTTTAAAATAAACCAATTTCATTCGAAAATTTGATTTTTGAGCGAAATATGATTCATGGAATAATATTAATACAAACCATCCCACATAGTGATTGACAAATCACCAACTTTAACTGAGTGTTGTTTAATATATTGCCCAAATGAATTTTCTTCCGACGAATTCGATCCATTCTGCCTCTTACAGAATCTCCTGACAAATGTGGTTTTACCAGTGTTTTCCAGACCAACCACTAAAATTCTCTTTTGACGTGGAGAGTTCTGAAAGACAACGAGGTAGCCTACCGTAATGAATTGAAACAACACAAACACAATCCTATCAATCCTTTGTAACTTTAGAATTAAAATCAGACCAGCTTTAATTAGAATCTATTGTGAAATATGTAAACCAAAATAATTGGTTTGTCGAGTAAGCAAACTCATGAACCAGAGTTTTTTCAATCGAATTGAACTTCATTTCTAAGCGCGTTTTTTGAAGACTATATTATGTCAAAATTGGAAGATTCTAAATACATAAAAGAATGCCGTAAAAATGCTCTGTAGATTACGGCCAAAGATTTCAGAATACGCTTCGAATAACCTAAGAGGACGTATTATATCAGAAAGTATATTGAACAATTATTGATTCATTTAAAGGTTTGTAAGCTAGCTAGACTAGATCTACTTTCACCAAAACTTTTTTTTAAATCTAGAATATTTTTTTAAAATTTTTAGGTTGCATTTTTAATACTAATAGGATAAGTCCAACAAGGTTAGTTCTACTTTATGTTTATAAACAAAAGGATGCCTATCCGCATGTTTTCAAATTTTTCTTCGAGAAAAGAAATTAAATTCTAGATCTACTTACACTTGGCTGAAGACTATAAAATTCACTGTCTTCTTCATTTCCCTGTTTCCAACTACTCCACGATTTATATAGAAAAAAACCGACGGCTAAACTTGCTACAGCGAAAATAACAGCCTTCTGTTTGCCGCTTAGAGAGTGACCGATCCTCTGCACTGCACTGGGAACTTTTAATTCTTCATCAAAATACATCTTGTGTGATTAGGGTACTGTGGATCCACAACTTTATTCAATCTTCTTAGCAATGTTTTATTATAACGTCACACTTATGTTGCCATAGGCGAAAGCCTTGCAGGCAACGTTATTTTATGACGTTACAAAAATACGCTATTTTCAGGCGACGTTTACGGTAAACGCGTGGCTAGATCGCACAATGAATATTTATTGCATCCACGTATGAACATTATCAAATATTGATAAAAATCGCGCGGAAAAAACGCTACAGTAGATGCGATAAATGTACAGAGGGGGGTGGTTGGAGTAGCTTCGGCGGCTGTGGACACCATTACTTAACCAAGTAATGTTGTTCATAGTTTTCCGTATAATCATTCTTATTTTTTAATTACCTATTCTGATTTAACATACGATATTCCATGTCAATATTATTTATTATGCTTTGACCTTCCTGATTTTGAATAATCTAATAAAACAATGATCTATTAATATATATGCCACAAAGTCTTTAGCCAACAATACAGTAAAAATTTATTTATAAATGTTTTAATTACGGGCATGTATTTGTGACTTTCTATTGTAGAATATATCAAAAACCTTTATATTATATTATATTATAATATTCGGTTAGCCTTCATTTACAATGAAATTAATATATATTATTGAGGTTTATTATACTTTAGGCGTTTATTGTAAACTCGAATAAAGAGGGCACTTGAGATGTCAACTCGTTTACAGCGACTCTGGACTGTTTTGATAACATTTACAGCAAGGTGTTCGAAGGTCTCGATAACACATATAATCTACTTGAGGAAACCATGGAACTCTAGTTATATATAATTTGTCGTACCTCGAGGAGGAATTGAACCCACGGCACCAACTGTATTTGTATAATACTTGTGTGAGGCCATCTCCAGTTAGCTAGATCAGAGTCACCGTGTGTTTGTTGATATGTTTTTTCACCACAGAAAGATGCACAGATGCTTAGAAGTGGGTTTGTCTGATTTTAAATTAGGCATGCGTGATGCTATAACATTTAAAAATAGAAAATTGAATTACTTTTTTGCATATCAACATTTGAAAATAAAAATAGACACGAAAGACATTGGGGTCTATATAAATCGAACTCTTTCAAAGTCTTTCAAATAATGTCAATAAAGATATACAATGAATCCACATTGCCTCAATGGTGCATTATATGTCACACGGTATATTACATACAAAATAAGGTTCAAAGAAAAAGGAGTTCTCCTTGATAAAATGACGCAGGTATTTAACTTTATAGGTAAGTAATATTTACTGAAAGGGATCATGACGAAAGTGTCATTGTCATTACTATAAAGATCACCATACGAACAATATAAATATACTATCAACAATTCGGCTTGAAAAGTAGGCTATATATCTCGTTATCGCCATCGGGCGGTATGTTTCGGTGTTCAATGATACCTCCTTTCTCTATAAGCGTAGGAATACAGGGCCATACAGTGATTTCTATGTTATTGGAAAGTAAAAAAAAAGTATATTAAAAGTAATGAAACGTTGACTTCTGATTGGCTCAATGCAATGTATAAGAAGAGACAGACCGTCTTGAAAGTAACTAATCTATTTTCTATTCCACCAAGATTACCTTGAACAATTGAACATGTAATAATGAATACCCGTCCATCAGACCTTCATTACCTGAATCCAACCTTGGACATTCACGCGAAAGTCACATATTCGCCGAGCTCCTTACGGACACTAAGGCCGCAAATAATCAAAAACGAGCATGGAAAAAACATTCCGACTAAGATAGATTTGTTGATCACTGAATCGGGTAGACTTCGTAATACATTATTCACTGTAATGTTGAACTAACAAAATACGAAATTTATTACGCTCTTTTCTGTTACGAATGAAATGTAAACCTATGATTTATTACACTTCTTCATTCAAGTGACTCAGTAGAAGTAAAATCAGTCGAATGAACACAAGTCTTTTAAGTACATTTTCGATATTTTTTCGATTTAAAAGACCACTATATCAAAGTTCATAAACAATTCTGTATTTATTGAAAACCTGGAAAACGAGAAAAGTTATAAACCAACAATTACATAATATTCTTAGGTAAGTCAGGAAGTTAGTTTTTGTACGTAAATTTTTATTTCTTCATTTTCTATTTCTTTCAATTTTCGATTGATAGATATGTTTTGCATACATGTTTATTAGGGAAATCAATGACATTGCAGTGTAGACCTGTGTTCTTATTTCAAATAATCACACATCAGTGTGCGAAATAACAACAAGATTTACTACAAAATAATTTGGATATTTTGAGAATATCTAAAATGTATGGTTGTACATCGTGTTTCAACTGACAAGCAGCTTGACTGTCGGTTATAAGAATGATACTATAGGTCTTGTTATAGCACCATTTAACGGCCATGTTACACAATGAAACCAACTAAGAACTTAACTTTTAAGTATGTTTGTGTCATAGACTGAACAATAATCCGGCAAGACATTGGTCACGGATTTTAAAGGAACAAATCGACCAAAATTATTATATACTCCCTACCGAATAGGTCTTGAAAAGTCAAAAGGATAATTTGAAAACAACATACATGATAAAGATGGCTGAAAACTAATATTGATAAATTTTAATGCATATAAGCTTGATCCATATTGTATTATGTTTCAGGTTAAAATGACGACGAACTCACAATACCACTGGAAGGAATACAAGCGAAAGGATTACGGACCAATAAAGGAATACAAACTAACTCATAAACCAAAATACCACGAATACAAATCATATCACGAATATGGGAAAATTAAGGAATATGATAAAATTCGTAATTACAACCATCGGGAGTATAAGCCCATCAAGCCGAATTATAATGGGTACAGGCCAGAAGCTAGACCACCTAGAGAGAAGAGACCTATGTTACCAAAACGTGAGAAGCAATACAATCATCAGGTCAGGTTCCGCCAGCTTAAACATTGTTATAAACTACCCATGGGTCCGGAATACCCCGTGCGACCCTACAAACTACGGGAATATAAACGCAAAAAGGAGAAATTGGACTATCATGAATATAAAGGGTACAAACCATTTAAGGGTTACCCAGAATATGTAGGTGGTGTTTATTATAAGTTAACTCCCTTGAATTATTACGGGTTCCGTCGTGGGAAGAGGGTCTTTCGGCCAATTACACCAGATCCTTACCCAATTCCACCTGCTAGAGAACCTATATATTCACAACAAACGCTGATCAAACCTACAGAGAAGATCGTCGAACCACAACCACAGGTCCATGAACCGTTAGCTCCGGCCCCGGAAATAGTGTATCCCCAACAAGTGCTAATCAAACCACAGACACCCATTCCGATAGTTAGAGAGAAACCGGAATATAAACAAACGATTCGGGACGATAATGGTATTTATAAGCTCAAACACCCAGTTGGGTATCATCCTTATAATGGCTATCACGAATATGACTCCAGATATCGTCCATATGGATATAAACCTTATAACCATTTATTTGTATATACTGCTAAAGATTCTCCGGACGAGAAACCACATATAGTTCGCACGGAGAAGGACATTAAACATATATATTATAGAGATCCTTCCATCGTTGTGCCTCTTCAGCAGTCTCCTCCGTCACAACCTCGGAAGCCAATTTACGCAAAAGAACCAAAACTACCCCAACAAACTTTGATCATGCCTACTCAAGTTGTAAAACCTAGAAAGAAAGTGCCAAACCAGAAAGAACCAGTGTATCCTCAGCAAACTTTAATCAAACCGATCAGAATTATTCCGGTTCAAACAATAGCTCAAGATGAGCCGGACACTGTGGTGCAACGAGAGGAGGTCAGAGAGGTACGACGAGCAGCTCGTGTTGGTCCTATTCTAGCGCCGGTGGTCATTCAAGAAGAAAAGTCACCCATTATATATGCACCAGTCGCACCAGCGATTCCCCGATATGTTCCAACAAGCAAAACCTACATTGAACCCGAATCTCAAATACTTACGGCTCCTCCCATAGTGAAACCACTACACCCTGTTGAAGCGATCGAGCGTCAAGTCCACGACAATCCAAAACCGATAAACGTCATACCAGTTCCACTTGTGGCGGCGGCTCCCCCGCCTCCAAAATACAAACCAACTTCAAAGACATATACGGAAGAGTCAAAGAATATCACAATGCCAAAACCTAGACAAATTACACCACCACCGGTAAAAGTTGAAACAACACCAAAAACACCAGAACCAGTGGTAAGTCAAAGCAACTATAAAGCACCAATTATTCCAATTGCAGTCGCTGCATCAAATAAACAACGATCGACACCTCCAAAGATCCAACCAATCGCATTGGCTGTAGAATCGAAACCAGACACACCACCAGTTGAAGTAAAGTCAACAGTTCAAGTCGAAAGTAAACCTGTAATCCCTGCACCTGTTCCTGTCCCAGTAGTAGCAGCTGCGCCTCCAAAACAAAAGACTCAACCTCAGCAGAACAAACCAAAACCCGCACCTCAAAAGCAGCCAGAGGTGAAACAACCGATACCCATTCCAGTGATACCAGAATCCAAGAATCAACCAGAACCAAAGTCCGATCCCAAACCAGATCCTGTGGAATCGGCACCTCCACCTAAGCAAAAATATCTCGCTCAACCAGTGGTTCCTCCACAACCTCGTAAAGCTCCACCCACTACTAAACCCCCACCAAAACCGGTAGAATCCAAACCAGAGCAAGACGAAGAACCACCGAAAACACCACCAAAACAACGAGCACCAATCAGAAGACCTAGTCTTCCACCCGCACCCTCTCCTCCATTAGATATACCCACACCACAACCACCTAAGGTAAGGCAGTCCTCATTTTCCCGATATTACCTGTTGATATCCGATTGCACTAATTTAATCATTAGTTTGCTTGGAATACAAAATGTTCTTCCAATAATCAAATGTGAGATAAAGATTTATTACAATTCAGAGGATGCTTTCACTTTATCGGTGGTAACGTTGCGACTGAGAACCTCTCTGTCCAGTGTAACACCACAGCATCTTTGTTGTACACTGACAATTTTCTCTGTTCTTCATATCTCACGTATATAGGGAGTATTAAATACAATAGACGAAACTGGTGGAGAAGTTGTTTCCCTTTGTACCCGTGTTGAAGAAAAGATTGCTAGGTTGGACATTATATGAGAAACTAAATTCCTTGTTTGCATGAATCAATACTTGTTCTGATTATGCAATTGTGAATTGATCATTTCAGGCTCCAGCCCCGGTTCTAGACGTCCCAAAAGTCGACAGAGATGCTCTTGGTGCCCTGGGAAGTGTGAAACGTACTATGCTTATGATGGGCTAAACATTGTCTTCGTGCGAATTTCAAAATGAATGCCGCAAGAAACAGGTATTAAGAATCTATGGAACTATTCGTGTTTCGTTTCGTAATTCCTAACGTTGATATATACGACGGTTAAAATATATACGATGGTTACTCTATGACTATGAGTGAGACTTTCTGAAGTGTTTAGTTCAATTTTCTGAATGTTGGACAATAATCTATTAATAATGGGCTTTATTGAACTACATGTAGCTGAGCACATGACGACTCTCTCGTACACAGTTTGAAGCTCGCCGAGTAAAATTTTCAATTATCAAATACCTCTTTTATATCAATGGTACTGTTTTTTATCTATTTTTACACTTGCAATTGTCTTCTTATTAAAACATCACCACATACAAGAATAGTTATTGTTATCAGGAATCAATTTAATACAAAAAGGTATACTACAATGTATACATGGGTTCATGGGTAAATACAACTGCCGTCTATTGAAAAGAACTTCTCTTTGTCGACGACCTCTGCCAGGTGTAACATGTAATCACCTGGATAAGTAAATAAGGAGGATGTGAAATTCAATATTTTTGTCAAATGTACTTCGTATATCAACAGAATTGAGGACATTCTACAGCATGAAGGCAAACAAGAAAGCTATTCAACCGATCGAAACTTTAAGATATCTCGTATTCAAAGTCTAAATGTATCTGCTCAACCATAGGACTGTATATTTCAAGCCCGTGGTCAAATTGTTGTTCGAGGGGGGAAAGTATCCTGTTAAGTTGATGTAATGGAATGGGTCGGTTGTCAGAATTTTTTCAGGGGAGGCAACCCATTTTTTGAGGGACTACTTGCGTCCTGAAACTACTGGCCTGGTTCATTTGAGAGACTCAAACCCTCTTTTAATCGAAATTAATTCTTATTGACATGTCTGATGGATTCTTTATTACTTTCAATACTAAAAATCATTGCTGCAGGATTATGAATTATTTGTTTGTTTTTAATATTCCCTACTAAGGTATTGTATTAATTTGTGCTCTTTGATTAGAATCACTGCACTAGGTAAGGTGACTAACTAACCCAATTTTAAATATAGAACTTAACAGTCAGTTTCTTTTTATGATCTTTTACACCTTTTGATACGACAAAGAACGGTAGAGCTGTGTAGCTCTTGGTCAGTAAATTGGGTAGAAACAACCTTCCCAGAGTTACTTGATTTATTTTGAGGTAATTATAATCCTAGGTCGGTTTGATACATAAACATTCACACACTTATTGTTATTTGAGGTTGCAGTTACAGTCATACTAAAATATAAATCACACTCGTTCATTTTAATTGAAGTTTCTACGTGCTACTAAGCTTCTCAACAATGGCCTGGTCTTTTGATTTGATTAGTTGAATTTTTTTTTCATAAATTTGTGCATGAAATCAGCTGCACATTTAACACATATTGTTATATACCAACATCATCATATTCGGGTGTGCCATTTATCCAGATAAGTGCCTGATGATCGCCATGACTAAAGCCATAAGAGTTATTTCCCCTTTCTGACTGCCACCACTAACTAATCCTGGTATATCCAAGAATTCAGCACTGTTATCCAGTGTACCGTTATGAGGAGCTGGTTGAATGCCTAACAAGGCACATAACATTGGGTATATATCAACCGAATTAATAGAGTTTGTTTTATAATTGTCTTTAAAATTGGGACCTTGGGCTACAAAAATTGGTCTCATATCCAACAAACGGTTGTCGTATCCATGGTTACCACGTGGGTCCCATTTGCCCATACTGGAGGAATTCTGAAAAATTAATGATAAAAACATACACAAATGGACGAAGGCATAATATAGGTTATAAAGAGGAGAGTGATATATATTGAAGAGATGTGATGCTCTCGATGATACCATGGCCTACAATTTCAAGTTACCATTTGGTCAAAGTTTGTATTAAGTAAAAGGAGTTCGAAATACAAGTATGTAAATGTCAATGCACATCAAAGAAAGCGAGACTGCTGTCAACCTAATCAAACAACATGTAGAGCATATATTTTATATCAAAACGTTATAGTGTTTACTGTCACGGGGCCAGTATACTTACATATTCGATCATCCAACCATCAGCAGCAATGGCGACAATAGGCATTACTCGTCGGTTATTTTTATAATGAAAGTGTTCGGGTATGTCTTCTTTTCTGTACACCGTCATCTTAGAATGTTTACCACGTAGATCATTGTATACAATATTTTCTCTACCTGGTTTTGGTAAAATATTGGCTACAGGACCTGATTCTGGTATGAGATAAATATCATCAGGATTTACATACGCATCTAGATAGATGATCTGAAATTTGAAGGTTAAACTCTGATAAATACAAAAACAAAACACAAATTACACTTATTTGACTAAGGCGGTTTTCAATCATGATTCAATTGAAGCATGTATTTCACCATTTATATTTTGACCCACAAGTTACATGCCCTTTTACAAAAGTTACATACCCGTGTTCAGAAGTTAAATATCCTTGTTCAATTCAAGAGTTACATACCCCTGTTTAAGAGTTAAATACTCGTGTTCGAGAGTCATATACTCTTGTTCAAGAGTTACACACCCTTGTTCAATTCAAGAGTTACACACCCGTGTTCAAGAGTTACACACTCGTGGTCTAGATTTAAATACTCTTGTTCAATTCAAGAGTCGCATACCCGTGTTCAAGAAATAACATACCATTGCTCAAGAAATAACAGACCGTTGTTCAAGACAAACACACTCTCCAAAAGTTACATACCCTTGTTCGAGTTACATACGATTTTCAACAGTTTTTTACAATTGCTCAAGACTAACATGTGATTGTTCATGACCTGCATAAACTTGATCGAGAGTTACATGCCCTTGTTCAAGAGTATGACATACCATTGTTCGAGAGTTACATACAACTATTGTTCAACAGTATTATATCATTGTGCAAGAGTTACATACCCTGGTTGTTTTATTAACCTCTGTCATACCATGATCACTTGTCAATATAATATTCAAACTGCTCAATACTCCAGCTTCATTTAATTTGTTTATCAGGTAACCCAATAGACTATCCATTTCTCTACAATCGATTATAATATTGTATAACTTGGTATATTCAAACAAAGCTGTTCATCTCTTTCATTTTGATTACAGATATATGAATTGTTTACAGAGTATGAATTGTTTACAGAGTATAAAGGGATACAAAGATCATTTTGCATGGCGTTGTTTCCTCAAAGTAGTCCGTTCAATATACAATGTATAAAAAGTATGGTCCATTTGATTTAAATTTTGCATCATCGGATTATACTTGAGTTCCAGACTATATATCTTTTTCGTCACCTCAAGACCTAAGAGATGGCCATTATGGACTAGTCCAATCAATGGTTTGAGTTGTTGAAAAGACATTATCAAAGATCATTGTTTGACATACCTTACTTTGGCTTTGATTTCATCAGAGAATGGTCCGAATAAATGTCCAGTGTGGTCAGGTTCATTGAAATACAAGGTGGCAAGATCTACATGTCCATTCTGAAACCAATCCACAACTGTGTCCACTCGATCTCGGAATGGCACAGACCCGTTGTACCGTTTCCATATATCTGGATACATTCCCTGAATTTTAACCTCACTACCAGGCCAAAAATACGTGCCAGTCTTAAGATTTTGTTTCTTGGCAGTGATCCATATTGGTTCGCCCTCATTCCACCATTTTGTTTCTGTGTTTCCCATTCTGAACGTCTCATTGAATAAAGGATCATACATTGAATTACCAACAATACCATGAGTTTCTTCCCACAGTCCTATAATTGAGGAACATGTAGATAACAACGAATCATTTATTCAGTTCGTCGGTGAGCTACTTTCTTTTTAATATTCTGACTGAAGAACTACGTTTAACATTCGAATCGTATACAATATTATGTATATCTCAGTTTCGAACCATTCGAGTGAATGAGTCCTTGATGTTGCTGAGAGGCAGGACATGTACGGTGGGTTCGTTTTGCCGCCTTGCCCAATTGCCGCATCGTACTCAACTGCACAAAAACGACTTATAAAAAGAAACTAAAGGTTTCTCATAAAATTCAAAATGGCCATTTGTTTCACATGAAACGAAATATTTTAATCTGTTGTCCCGCATCGATTTTCTTTTCATTTATAATTTAGATCTGTTAGGGAAATCGAAACTATAGTTTCATGGCAAAATCTGGAATAACATAAATACCAAGTACAAACGATCAGAACCGTAACACAAAAGTTGGCAAGTTGGGCAATGCTGCTAAACGAACCCACCGGGTCATGTAAACTTTTAAGTTGAAATATTGATACATGATAATAAACAAACAAAATAGAAGCTATTTGTAATGCAGACAATAGAGACGGCAGTATATAATTAACAAAATATATTTACCCGTAGCTATAGCATAATGAGTAGGAAAAGTTTTAGTTATAAAGGTATTATTAACATATTTCAGTTGAACTCCATTCCCTGCCATTTGTTTGATATGAGGTGTTTCTGGTACCATGTCCAAATAATCCCATCTAAATCCATCCATAGAGATCATTAGTACCTTTTTGGAAAGCGGTGGTATATTGGCAGACCATATCGCCCCTATACCCGTACACAGTAGTAAAAAGAGAAAGGAAGACATGACTCTTCGTTATCTGAAATATTAAACAAAAAGAAAGAGTTATAGCAATTTACATACCTATCCTAGAAACGGTTTCATCTTTAACGCATTGGTCATCATACTTACGCCCGAAAATAAGTCAGGATGGGATTTCCTCGACCTCCAAAGTTTAAATGACGCCACAGCTCTCTGCACTAAGTCCACACTCATTCCCCGAGAGAAAGTTTTACAACCTTTCATGTTATATTTTTTAAGTAAACAAACTCTGTTTGCTTGGCGTATCAATTCATTTCTTATAAGTAATATAATATTCATAATGATATTGATTTTTTTTAAGAAGAAAAACTTGACCTCGACGTATCATAATGTGTACATAGGTAAAGTGCCCTCTTAGTACTCATAAAATGCATTAACAAATACCAATCTTTGAAGCTCATCATCTTCACAATGGTCGAGGTACTGCAAAATTTATCTGATAGCTTGACTACAATAGCCACCTTTCTTGTAACACGGAATGGAGCGATTTAAATGGATTGTAAGCCTACGAATACAGCCATTCAAAGCCCTCGATAAACACACTGTAAACGTTATGGCTCTTTGTTTAAAGATTTTCTGATTGGCTGTATTCGCTAACGTACAACCCAACCAAATTGCTGCAATTACAAAATTCCGTGATAGAAGAAAGGTGACTATTGCAACCAAGATATATTGCCTACTGTATCATTTCTGGAGCGAAGGAGTCTGCTTGTTGAGGTTTTTACCTGGAAAACAAAGCCTTTTTGACAAAGATAAAGACGGAAAACGTCCTGTAGTTCACAATGAAGACACTGGTACAATTCAAATCGTCTTCTATTTCCTTCTGCCAAAAGATTAAAACAAAACCCGAAGATTCACTGAGAAAGGAAAATGAACATTATTACTACCTCGACCTATTCCTGGATAGACCTTTAATAAATTATTTTATTCATTGGTATGTTAATATTAATCAGTATACACATCAATGATTTAACAATATACGTTACAAATTAGATTTGGAATAACAAAATTAAAAGTTCATTGTAGATTCACTAAAGCAACAGATGTTGCAACGAAAAGCAATATATGATTACAATCATCCAGTCATTTTTCATTCAAATTCACGTTGATTTATCAGGACAATTCTTTATTAGACGGTGACGAAAATATGAATATTTTTGAATCCCACGCGTTATGTGCCTTGCATTAAAGAATGAACAAATTAATGAATGGACGAATGAATTGACAGACTCAACTGTCACCCACAATGAATGTTGTCCTTTCTCCAGGTGATAAGCGTACAATTTCAGCTATCCATAATACGTTTTAGAATTACAATCCGACTTCCTGTTCATCTACAATTAAATAATATACGTTGTGACTCTCGGCATACACAAGAACACTGTAACAAGTACAGTAACATTTCCAGTATATAGGTGATCTTTCTATTATTACAAAATCTTTAATGCTTAGGATGTCACTACCGCGGGGGCATCTTTAGTAACATGTAACCGAACCTGCTACCGTCATATTTCATTTTGAAGATGATACAAATAAATTCAATTAAGTGTTTCAAACACTGAGTGATTGACTCTGCTGGTAGACTTATGTCCCCAGAGTTCAGCTAAGAGGCTTTAAGTTCATGAATAGTACGCATGATTATTCGAGTCGGATTATAAGTAGTTTTCAACTGCTTACCAGAATCGTAGCCTCCCCTATAATCAAATCTATCTCATATATATCAATATCTGCGGATATCAAGTTTCTGTAGATAAAACCTGTCCCACTCTGGGTTATTATGACCTCGTAAAATAAACATTGAATTATATGTTATGTTCATACCTAACTTCCTTATATAAATAAAAAATTATTTTTGTATAAATATAGTCTCAATTGCGTCTTTACTACTGTGACGGTAAATCAGTGAAGTTTCGTTCTCTGTAAGCTTATAGTATAATCAGGACTCAACATTTTATTTCATTTCGCTTCCAATGAAAAGTATAACTTGTATATTATGAATCTACTGTAAGTATGTGTAATATATTGACATGGAAAACCGAGACTATTGATTATGCTTCAAAGTGCTTTGGTATCGAGATTATTGTATGCTATATATATATCTTTTCTGCCGCACGTGCAGACGCTTGGCAGCCATCTTACCTACTGTGAACAAGTATTAAACTTATAGTATAGAACTCACGGTGTTCTTATTTGAATACATCACAGTATGCATATCGATACGGAATGTGCAAGTGGTAATTTACAAATCAGTTTGTGACCTAGATAGACATGATATAGTTGATACACAGGTTGAAAGAGTTTAATCGTAGGGTAGTTTCGACGGATAAAAGAGTTATTCAAATTCAACAAACAAACACATAAGCTGCTAAATAAATCTACTACTAACTGTTACAGTGTTAACAACTGACAATAAACAGTATTTACTCCCAGAGTAAAAGTGACAATTCTGTCCACGATATAAAAAACGATCACGTTGAAGTTGGTATTCTCGAAATATGACTAAATTAATCGGTGAATTTTCTAATCTAATAAATAATCGTCGACCGTGATTATTCTTATCAATGACATTACAAAACCATAACAAGTAGAATCTGTTCACGGAGGCTATATACTCAAAATGTATTGTCAGTACGTCATTTGGTGATTATATACTTGGCATACACCGTATATTACCTGGACCATACTAAAACAATATTCTTATTATATGTACCATTGTTATTGCATTGTATACGAATTTAATAACTTGTATTTTTCATAGATGTAATATACATATCGACACAGAGAGATATACAATGTAGCCATAACCATTATAGCTTATAAGCAGTATCTTACCTTCACAAGTCAATGACAGTATAACATTAAAATATGATGTATTGATATACTGTACATTGTAGCGTATATTGGTTTTCTTCCGTAACACCCCCGTCTTTATAACATCCTTAATAGCATATACGATGTGGTAGAAATATTTAAATTACGTCATGTTTTGTATAAATAATCACCAAGTTTAGTTTAACATCGTAAATCCTTCTAATATATTGACGTGCATACGTACACTTATTTTACCATTCGTGACCTATTTTCTCAATAGTTCATTTACAATGTTGACAGTAATCGTTAAAAGGCTGTGTTTGGTAGAGTGTATTTAGATCGCTATATTTAAAACAATTCATTATTCATGAGTGATACCGTAATTGTTAGTCCGAGGCCAGAACATGATGACTCTGACTAGTAAAGGATTTACAACCAAGGGCATTTTGTGGAGGCTTTTTTCAATGTGGTGGTGATGATGTTTTTCAACCTTAAATCCTTGGACTCTTACAGAATTATTTCGTACAGGCATACGTCATTCTGTCATCGATTTAAATTATCTCCACTTTCATTGTTGTTTTTAACTCCTGTTCGATTTCTATCAAGTAAATACAGGAAGATATATATATATTTATAACTGCGTGATGACCACTCCGTATCCGGATGTGTCATGTGTCATTAGGCATGTAATTAACTAATACAATTGTTAACAGTGATAAATATTTAAAGTCCGTTACACAGCTCCATCTACATATAAAACTAATCAGTTACGTAGCATGGAAAACATTGAAAGGGGGTCGGGTTATGGGAGGATAGAGTTGGGGTATCTGAGCGCTCAAGCGCTCCCCTTTTCCAAGGCATGATGCGGGGACGTAGGAGTTCCTCTGGTAAAATTGCTAATCTAGGAAGGCGGTTTAAACATCTAATGCTATTTTGGAAGTGAAAGTAGAATATATTTTTATGGCATCATTACTGCGAAAATACATTGGAGAGCATTTCTTACTTCTATAACAGGCTAATACTAGGCTAATACGAGTACATTTCCTAATCCCATCTAGACTACTTATATGACAGAAAAACATTACTTGACTAATTCTCTTGGAAAAACATTGCCTACATCTATGTCATAAAAACATTACTTGACTAATTCTCTTGGAAAACATTTCTTACTCTGATACAAGGCCAATATTCTTGGAAATGATATTCAACTTATATGACAGAAAAACAATCTAGACTAATGCTAATTTCCTACATCTACATTAGAAAACAATACCTTACACAAAAGCAATACGTTGCCCATTAAAACTTTTAATAAGTCTTACCTTTGCGCCACTTGCCCCTTCAATAACAAGAATCATTAAATATTTTCACTGCCTGGTGAGCATCACTTCTTAACTACTGTGGTATCGACACTATCCAAGGTTAAAGGTCCATCGTGCTGATATATTCAATATTATAACTTAAGATAAGGTTTATCAGACTGAAGTTTTAATGTAAACACTACAATTCGCTGGAGTTATATTTTAAATGAGATGAATGACACTATCTTTGAGTAAAAGTAATACTCCGAGTATACGGTAAATACTAATTCTATATTTGTCAAGAGCACAAATAAAGAAATATTTATCCAGGGAGTTTGTCTCTGTTTAAAGCACAATTTCAGTGATTTTAGTACTACTACTGTAAAGTCGACATATTTGGGTTGTTTATTATAAGATTCTGATATTACTATTGCGAAGTCGACATATTTGAGTTGTTTATTATAAGATACTGATATTACTGTTGTGAAGTCGACATATTTGGGTGGTTTATTATAAGATTCTGATATTACTATTGTGAAGTTGACATATTTGAGTTGTTTATGATAAGATTCTGATATTACTATTGTGAAGTCGACATATTTGGGTTGTTTATTATAAGATTCTGATATTACTACTGTAAAGTAGACATATTTGGGTTGTTTATTATAAGATTCTGATATTACTATTGTGAAGTCGACATATTTAGGTGGTTTATTATAAGATTCTGATATTACTACTGTAAAGTAGACATATTTGGGTTGTTTATTATAAGATTCTGGTATTACTACTGTGAAGTCGACATATTTGAGTTGTTTATTATAAGATTCTGGTATTACTACTGTAAAGTAGACATATTTGAGTTGTTTATTATAAGATTCTGGTATTACTACTGTAAAGTAGACATATTTGAGTTGTTTATTATAAGATTCTGATATTACTATTGTGAAGTCGACATATTTGAGTTGTTTATTATAAGATTCTGATATTACTATTGTGAAGTCGACATATTTGAGTTGTTTATTATAAGATTCTGATATTACTATTGTAAAGTAGACATATTTGAGTTGTTTATTATAAGATTCTGGTATTACTATTGTGAAGTCGACATATTTGAGTTGTTTATTATAAGATTCTGATATTACTATTGTGAAGTCGACATATTTGAGTTGTTTATTATAAGATTCTGATATTACTATTGTGAAGTAGACATATTTGAGTTGTTTATTATAAGATTCTGGTATTACTATTGTGAAGTCGACATATTTGAGTTGTTTATTATAAGATTCTGATATTACTACTGTGAAGTCGACATATTTGAGTTGTTTATTATAAGATTCTGATATTACTACTGTAAAGTCGATATATTTGAGTTGTTTATTATAAGATTCTGATATTACTATTGTGAAGTCGACATATTTGAGTTGTTTATTATAAGATTCTGATATTACTACTGTGAAGTCGACATATTTGGGTTGTTTATTATAAGATACTGATATTACTATTGTGAAGTCGACATATTTGGGTGGTTTATTATAAGATTCTGATATTACTATTGTGAAGGCGACATATTTGAGTTGTTTATTATAAGATTCTGATATTACTATTGTGAAGTCGACATATTTGAGTTGTTTATTATAAGATTCTGATATTACTACTGTGAAGTCGACATATTTGGGTGGTTTATTATAAGATTCTGATATTACTATTGTGAAGTCGACATATTTGAGTTGTTTATTATAAGATTCTGATATTACTACTGTGAAGTCGACATATTTGAGTTGTTTATTATAAGATTCTGATATTACTATTGTGAAGTCGACATATTTGAGTTGTTTGTGATAAGATTCTGATATTACTACTGTGAAGTCGACATATTTGAGTTGTTTATTATAAGATTCTGATATTACTACTGTGAAGTCGACATATTTGAGTTGTTTATTATAAGATACTGATATTACTATTGTAAAGTAGATATATTTGAGTTGTTTATTATAAGATTCTGGTATTAGTATTGTGAAGTCGATATATTTGGGTGGTTTATTATAAGATACTTATATTACTATTGTAAAGTAGATATATTTGAGTTGTTTATTATAAGATTCTGGTATTAGTATTGTGAAGTCGACATATTTGGGTGGTTTATTATAAGATTCTGATATTACTATTGTGAAGTCGACATATTTGAGTTGTTTATTATAAGATTCTGATATTACTACTGTGAAGTCGACATATTTGAGTTGTTTATTATAAGATTCTGATATTACTATTGTGAAGTCGACATATTTGGGTTGTTTATGATAAGATTCTGATATTACTATTGTGAAGTCGACATATTTGGTTGTTTATTATAAGATTCTGATATTACTACTGTGAAGTCGACATATTTAGGTGGTTCATTATAAGATACTGGTATTACTATTGTGAAGTCGACATATTTGGGTTGTTTATGATAAGATTCTGATATTACTATTGTGAAGTCGACATATTTGGTTGTTTATTATAAGATTCTGATATTACTACTGTGAAGTCGACATATTTAGGTGGTTCATTATAAGATACTGGTATTACTATTGTAAAGTAGACATATTTGAGTTGTTTATTATAAGATTCTGGTATTACTACTGTGAAGTCGACATATTTAGGTGGTTTATTATAAGATTCTGATATTACTACTGTAAAGTAGACATATTTGAGTTGTTTATGATAAGATTCTGATATTACTACTGTGAAGTCGATATATTTGAGTTGTTTATTATAAGATTCTGATATTACTACTGTGAAGTCGACATATTTAGGTGGTTCATTATAAGATACTGGTATTACTATTGTAAAGTAGACATATTTGAGTTGTTTATTATAAGATTCTGGTATTACTATTGTGAAGTCGACATATTTAGGTTGTTTATTATAAGATTCTGATATTACTACTGTGAAGTCGACATATTTAGGTGGTTTATTATAAGATTCTGATATTACTACTGTAAAGTAGACATATTTGAGTTGTTTATGATAAGATTCTGATATTACTACTGTGAAGTCGATATATTTGAGTTGTTTATTATAAGATTCTGGAATTACTATTGTGAAGTCGACATATTTAGGTTGTTTATTATAAGATTCTGATATTACTACTGTGAAGTCGACATATTTAGGTGGTTTATTATAAGATTCTGATATGACTACTGTAAAGTAGACATATTTGAGTTGTTTATGATAAGATTCTGATATTACTATTGTGAAGTCGATATATTTGAGTTGTTTATTATAAGATTCTGATATTACTATTGTGAAGTCGACATATTTGGGTTGTTTATTATAAGATTCTGATATTACTATTGCGAAGTCGACATATTTGAGTTGTTTATTATAAGATACTGATATTACTATTGTGAAGTCGACATATTTGGGTGGTTTATTATAAGATTCTGATATTACTATTGTGAAGTTGTCATATTTGAGTTGTTTATGATAAGATTCTGATATTACTATTGTGAATTCGACATATTTGGGTGGTTTATTATAAGACTCTGATATTACTACTGTAAAGTAGACATATTTGGGTTGTTTATTATAAGATTCTGATATTACTATTGTGAAGTCGACATATTTAGGTGGTTTATTATAAGATTCTGATATTACTACTGTAAAGTAGACATATTTGGGTTGTTTATTATAAGATTCTGGTATTACTACTGTGAAGTCGACATATTTGAGTTGTTTATTATAAGATTCTGGTATTACTACTGTAA